AAATACCAAACAGGTTTACATGAATGTCTCTTATAAAAAAACAAACGAAAATAAAAAAAAAATAAATAATTGAGCATCCTATGATGACATTCACTAGCTTTTGAAGAAGTGTGAGTAGTGAACTATTCACAACCCTTTTGTTGATCGAAATCTGGGTTTTAATCATTTTGATATGAAATAGTTAATGAAGGGGTGAGCTACACTACCCCAATAAGAATATCACACAACTTAACGATACAGAAAATAAAGATTGTTAAAAATCATGAAAACAACCAATAAGACTCTTAATTTAAGTAAATTCATTTATCATAAGTAAAACCATTTATTGCATACTTACCGTTGTGAAATTTCCAAAATCGATGTATAGAGATAATAATTCAAATAGCATTCCAATCTCATTTTCAAGTAAGTAAGAATAACAAACTTTCATTTTTATTTGCCTACTGGTATCCATGAGGGTTTATAGAGATGTCCCACTACGCGTGAACATTGTCAACTAACGGGCCATCCCCATACTCCGTCCGATATAAGTGCCAAGAATATCATTCCTCAATACTCCATCCAGTATGAGGATGAAACGGGTCATCCCCATACCATGTCTGCTATGAGCGTCAAAAATACCAATTCTCTATACCCCATTTGGTATGAGGCGACATTCACGGTAGGGTTCCTTATGTATCCGATCTGTCCACCATCTCCCAGGATATTCATTAAGATTATCATTCATTCATTCACTTAACCAATAAATTTTCCGTTTATATTTAATTTTCAGTTTCACAATTTAACCGTAAATCAACACAAGACAAACAATATATGCATTAAGAAAACACAACTGAATTATTTTATCAATTCCAGTATGCTATCATGTATTTAAAGTTATAAAATCAAACAATCGGTTAAACATGACAAACAATAATAAATAACTGGTTCTGGCTCCATTAGTAACCTGTAATTAATTCTCAAAATTTTTTAAATTACGCAAAATACTGTATTATTGATAATTAAACTTCAATTCCATAATATAGAATAAGGTGAGAGATTCTTACCCGAATCCGTGTTCGAAATACTGAACTTTCAACTGTGCTTACTGGCGGTCCATAAGTTTTCTAAATTTTTCTGTGGAGGTTAAAACATGTTTTACGTATCTAAAAATATATCAAAAAACTTAAAATCTGTGTTAAAAACCTTGTTCGACCAATTTCAGAATTCTGATGCGGTGTCACCGCCACCCGCGGCAGTTTGTCTTGGCCTGGCCATTTTCGACCAGTTTTAGCCGACTTTGGTCAGTTTTATACCCATCCATGTGAGAAAACACGTTAGAGAGTCTCGATTGGTCCAAAAAAAATAAAAAAACAAAAACTTACCGGCAGCGAGATTTTTTGGTGCGGCGGCTCCGCTGGCTCACCTTCACGACTGAACGTTTTTCTTCGGTCAACTTATAAAAAACAGAATGGTGAACACAATGGTGAAAAAATCGCACAAAATGGGTGAGGTAGTTTTTCTCATGACTCTTCAACTACCTAGACCCATAGGCTATGACCTTCCCATACTGCATCAGAACACAACCCAACCCCAGGTAGGAGACATCACTATAAACTGTATATCCACCTGTCCCACTCGGCAAGGCCAACACAGGTACAGTAGTCAACTACTTCTTTAGTTATGAAAAGATCATTTCACAGTTCTCGTTCCACTTAAACTTGACGTTCTTTTTTGTGAGTCGAGTTAAAGGAGCAGCTAGGTTAGAAAATCCTTCCACAAACATATGGTAATAACCTGCCATCCCCAGAAAGTTACGAATTTCTTTGACCGATGTCAATTTTTCCCAACCAAGCACTGCCTTAACTTTTTCGAGATTCACTAACACTCCATCCCTTGATATATTGTGCCCTAGGAAGGTAGTTTACTCGAGGCAAAACCCATACATATTCAACTTTGCATACAACTTCTTTTCTCTAATAACCTACAAAACCTGAGTTAGATGGTGAGTGTGTTCCTCTCTGCTTTTTGAATAGATCAGCATATCATCGATAAATACAATGACGAACTAATTCAGGAATTATCTAAAAATTCTGTTCATCAAATTCATCCAATCATGTTTAAAGAGAAAATGAATTTGGACTGTTCATTGTAATTTGATCTCGACCATACGGTCGCATTTAAAGAAAGAATGAATATGAACTGTTTATCGCGTTTAATCGCGACCGTCTGATCGCACCTGATGAGGGAACAGATCCAAACCGTCCACGCGCGCGGGAACGTATCCGAGTCGTTTGATAGCGGCACGCGAATTGCCAGCGTGGCACCGAGTCAGCGTGCCTTGCCACGTAACGCGCTTCGGTTCGTCGAAACTACTGACTGGGCGGTCCTACGTTGCATATTTTTTTCTTAATTGCGTTTTGGTCCGAGTTTTCGATTTTTCTTTCAAAAATACCTATCGAACACAAATTTTCACTCTTTTTTTCTAAAATTATTTTCAATTTCATTATCCACTTATTTTTTTCCTAATTTTATATTAAATAAAAATTTATAAATTTATAAATTATATTTATATATATATTTTTAATTTTAAAATTAATCTGGTATCAAATTTTGGATCCGATTACATTATTTTCTTTATCTAAATTTTTTTTATTTGGGTCTAAATTAAGATTAAAAAATTATGAAAATTAATAAAAATTAATAGCACATTTATGAATAAATAAATAAAAACCTATAAAATTAAATACAATATAGACTTGAAAGTGGTGAATAAGACAGTTGATGAGCCTCCAAAAAGTTCGTGATGGACGAACCAACCAAACGTCCCCTTGACATTCGACATAAAACTGACTTTTGTATTCCACTTTTTTCCTTTTTTAATAAATTAAAATTAAATTCGAATTATCAATTGTATAATAAAATTATTGCACTATACTCAAATATATATTTGTAATAAAAATATAATTGTATATATATGTATATATAATTATCAATACTGACTAGTCCAAGCATAAATTTTTTACTTTAAAAAAATCAAAATTAAAATATGTAAAAATATTGATGCAAAAATTTAATTTTAACGTATTTATAGTTATTTTGGTATAATTCAATTTCAATTTTATTTTAAATAATAAGTTTAATTCATCTAATATATTTATATATGTATATATATATATATATATATATATTTGTTTGAAAAGTAAGGCCCAACTGGAATTTGAAGAGAAGAAAATTTGGGCCTCATTTTTTATCGGTCCAAAAGGCCACATACAGAGTCCCATAGATTCAAAATTGATTACTTAGGGTTAAATTGAATATTAAATTATATTTTAAAATAATATTAATTTGATAATATATATAATTTTAAAAATATTATTTCGTTTTTAGGTGACTAAAAAAAACTTAATTGATTATGTACTTTAATTATAATTTAATAAAAGAATACTATCATATTCTAATTAAAGAAATTTAACTGATTACTATTACTAATATATTCTAATTTAATATAAGGTAAGTCGTACATTCCGCTTATTATATACTTATAAAATAACGAGTTCTATATTATTAGTGAAGTTAGAATTTATAACTTTTAAATTAAGCACTATAAATCTTAATTACTAACCCATTAGTGATAATTTGATTAATTAATTACATAGAAAGAAAATATAAAATTTATTTTGAAATTAAAGAAAAATAAATAAATAAATAAATTCTACCATTTCTTATTTATCTATACTTTTTAAAAGAATTATAAAGCAGAAGAAAATTAGGACTTATCCAAATCAACATAAAATACTGATTTTATATTATTTCAATAGTGTATTTAACAAGTGTTTCTATTGAATTTAGGAGGATTAAGGTTATGTGGTAGAATAAATTTAAAAATTTTAGGAAATTTGGTTGTAAATTTATATATAATTTAATCATAAAATAATATAACCAACAAAAAAATTTCACATAAAACATGTACTCTGTTTGATCTAATTCTGAAATAGAATTCAACGGTTGGATATTTTTAGAATCACAAATAAGGAATCAGATTTCTGAAAAGAATGTTAGACTGCATTGGGTTGTATGTATGTATGTATAGATATGTCTGGTTTATATTTTTAGAATCACAAATAAGGAATCAGATTTCTGAAAAGAATGTTAGACTGCATTGGGTTGTATGTATGTATGTATAGATATGTCTGGTTTACAACACCCACAACCTGTCAAGAATCAAAGTGTAGTAGTCATCATTTATGGTACAAAACACCATATCTCATTGCTGGCTTGCCAACTAAAAGATATAATTATTCTATGAGATGGTTAGGTCTGTAATGTTAGAGCATCTCATCTTCCAGTGTATTTTATGATCTTGTCTAGTTGATGATCAACACAGGCAAATCTAATCGAAATCACAACCTCCACATCATGAATGCCTAATCTTACTTTCAGTTTTTAAGGTTGGGGGTAATATGTGAGATTTTTTTGAGTGAAAATATATACATTTCATTCATCAGACGACATATACATCAATTATAACACAATACGGAAATGTAAAACCCAACCGGAACCCACAAGTACAAACCATTTTTAACCTGTGAGATGTTTAAGAAGCAAACTTGAATTGATAATTCAAACATATAACATCAAAAGATTGAAGTAATAAGCATTTTCTATTTGGGTTTTGGAAGGGTATTATAATGGTTTTATATAATAATACTGACACAACAAGTAATGACTAAAAGACAAATGAAATACAGATGGTTTGTCTATCACTGTCTTCTCTCTGTCCTTATAATGGTATAAAGATAAAAACTTGATTGTCACTACACGTATGCCCAACTGGGTTTTCATGGCTTCTTCTCCATGTGCTTCCTCACAGATCCATCCAAAATACTAATAGCTTTTAGAGGATCACTTTTATCTCCATCTAATTTATAATGCAACTCTAATTGGGTATTTTCTTTTATATTTTATTGCCCTTGAGTGTATCATATCCAACTTAATAAGAAGCCAAGAATGCCAGAACATCAATCTTTAAATAACAGCTTTTATTAGATATCTCTACTTCTGGTTACAAAATAGGGAGTAGTTGCTCTAAAGCTGTTTTTGGTAAAGGGAAACCAAGAGAGAACAAGAGGGGAAAAGGGGAAAATATATGATATTTAGAAGCAAAGGAGACTAGTAAAACAATTAATCTGTAAATATACAGTAAATAACAAAAAAAAGAAGATTCATCAATGCCAGATTCCACTGAACATACTACGGAATTTGTTTTTAGACAACTTCCTGACAAGTCTCTTAGCATCAGAAACTTCAGCTTCTGCAAGTTTTTCTATGCTTTTAAGATAACCAGAGGTTGCAATCTTTCTTCTTGCACTATTGCAGCTTGTTAATGACATTAATATAGAGATTAGGAGCTTTTTGTTACCTGAGTTTCCCTCTTCTTGATCCAGAAACTGGAGGAGATAGCTAATGTTTCGATCATCTTGAGCAAATCTTTTTCGATTCTTTGGAATCGAAACCATGCCATAAAGTGCCTCACTTGCCATTTCACGCACCTCAAAAGATTTTGCATCAAGAAATCTAACAAATTCATGCATAAAACCAGAATCTCCCATGGTTTTTTTGACCTCCTCAGATGTGCCACATAGCCTAGATGCCACCTTCAATGCCAGTTCTTGAACTGAAACATCTCCATTGCGTAGCAAGAAAAGCAGCTGATCCATAAAACCATAACTCATCAAAAGATTTATGCTAGAGGTTGAAGAGAAACACAAGTTCTCGATAGCTCTCAATGCTGTCTCCCTGGTTTTGGAAGATAAGATTGATTTTGGATCCAAAGTACGGACTAATGCTCTGCAACCTCCATCTTTAACCACCATTTGACGAATTGTGTCATCACCAGAAGCAATATTTTGAAGGAATTCTATTGAATTGACCTGGACAGTTTCATCTTTTGATCTTGCAAGCTTGATAAAGGTTGAGATTGCACCTTCTTCAACCATAAATCTCTTGATTTCTTCAACACCCACAAGATTTTTCAGTACCCCACAAGCAGACACAAGCAATTCTCCACTAGATTCACCATTAGAGCATATCTTCAACAAAGCAGTTACCCCACCATGAGCAGAGAGAGACCACGCATTGTCTGAATTCAAAGTGAGTTTCTGCAAACACCTGGCTGCTCCTTCCCTACCCAGTTCACTTCCGCCCTCTAAAATCCTAACCAGAGGCCCAATAATCCCCGCTCCAACTAAAACACCCTTATACAAATCAAACCCAGAAATCAAAGACAGCACTTTGGCAGCCTCTTGTTGAATTTCCACCTCTGTTGAATCAAGAAAACTGACCAATAAATTCACTATGTCACCAATCTCAACAATCATTTTTACATACTTGTCATCTTCTACCACAACTTCGTGCAAATTAACCAGTGCTTGCCTCTTCATTTCAGTATCCCCAATCTTCATTCTTGTCAATAAATCTCTTACATAAAACCTCATGTCATCTTTGCAGGCACCAAGACCAGGCCTAGAAACAACAATGGCAAACCCATGAGTCAAAATCCCAGCCGTGTAAATCCCAGAGAGATTCTTTACATGGCGGTCAAATTTAGCTGACACCACATCTAAATCACTCTGCATCAACAGCTTCCCACTGTAAGAAAGATCCACGCATCTTCTCGCAAGATCGTAGCACTCATTTACTGTGACCAAAATGTCAGGAACGAGGCCGGAAACAGCCGGATTCTCGAGGCAATCACAGTTCTCAATGGCGACTAAACCAGAGTTTAGCTCTTCTAACCTGTTTCTTATGAGTTGCCACTTGACAGCAAATACTTTGACTAAATGAGAAAGAGAGATCAAAGAAGAAATAACCTCCGTGACTTTCCTGAGACTGGATTTTCCGGTGAATGATTCCGGCGAGTTTTGATCTTCTCCCGGTCTATCTTCTTCTCCCATTTTGTCGTATCAACGAAGACCCATGTTAATTTCCTTTACAAGACAACGAATCTAAGAAGTGGTGATCTTATCAAGACAGATAAAAAGAAGAAAAACTCTGTAAGAACCATCTGTTTCCATGGCAGGTTAATAAAACGGGTTGTATGAGCAATTACAGGAGTAGGGTTTTCGGGTCCAGTTGGGAGTGGGTTAACAGTGACAGGTCAAGGAGGGTGGTGACAAGAGGATTGCTTTAATGTTGAAGGTGAAAAGGTCATCTCCAATTCCTCTTGTTGGAAGTTGGAAACTCCATTTTAAAACAAAAAACCAGGTAGAGAAGGTGAATGGGATGACAGAGAAAAAGCTGATGGGTTTATCTTTTCTCATGATTGTATTATATATTTTTTTAAATTAATTTATCAAAAAAATTAATTATTTTTACTCAATAAAAATTATGAAATATATATTAAATTAAAATTAATTTATTTATAAATATATTTGTTGAGGATAAATTTAAAAATTATAATTTATTTTATTTATTAATTTTAATTTAAATAGAATTTATTTTTAATATATTTATTTTTTAAAAAATTATGATATTAATAAAAATTTATCTTTTAAAATATTAGATTTATATTTATCTCTTTCGATTATTTTTTTAAAATATAAATTTATTTAAAAATATTTTAAATTATTAATTTTAAAAAAGTGAAATTAATAAAAATTTAAACTTTTTTAAATCATGAAAAAAAAAATCTCAACAATATTCCATTAAAATTATGGGATCTAGTGGTACTCGGTTTTTTTTTTCCTTTAAAAAATGATTCAACTTTTAAAAAATACAAAATTTTTTGTCTTATAAATAAATGATTTATAAGTTAAAAGTAAAAATATAGTTAATGATCTATAAGTTAAAATAAAATGATTATTATAATATAATTTTGTTTTCCCTTGATTTATAAGCTGCCATAAAAAATCCACTCATGTTTTTTCTTATATTTTAACTAAAATTATTAACATTATAAATATTTAAACTTTTGTTTGGTTGTACTTTTTTATTATTATTAATTATTTAAATTTATAAGCATACTTTAAGTAAACACTCAAGTTTTTATTAGTTGACTAAGGTTGATATTCAATTAAAAATAACTTATTATATTAAATTTACCCTAGAGTCTTCTTTATTGTTGTTTATGAATTTATGTATAGAAATATTACATTAGAAGGTAATAAGTGGTTGTATTTTATAGTAGATGTAAAGTTCTAAAATTTTAAAGAAAAATAAATTTATAAAATTAAATGCGGAAGCGATTAATAGAATTAGGATTTACATTTTTTACATAATAATTTAGAATGACCAATAGAGTTACCGGAATGTTTTTTTTAAAATACAAACAGTAATTAAAGAAATAAAAAAAAAAGGGAATATAAAAGTACCTTATGATAACTTTCCCTACCCCTTAAAGAGAGTACCGGTGGGGTGTAGCCCCCGGAAAGGGGGGGGAAAAAAAAAAAAAAAAAAAAAAAAAAAAAAGGGGGGGGGGGGGGCCACGTCAGCAGGCCCGGTCAGCAGTCCCGGCCAACCGGGGCCTGCCACGTGGCAAGATCGCGTCACTCCAAAAGGAGCCACGTTGGCGATCCGCGTGGGTGCGATCCGACGGCCCAGATCAATCGCGCGATCGAACGGTCCAGATTCAAACGCACGGACGGCCCAGATTCAATAAAAAACGAACGGCCCAGATTAAAACGAAACGAACGGCTGTGATCAAAAGGCAAGGGGTTATAAATAGAACCCCCACACCAGAGCACAAACCCTAGCCGCCAGTCGCTCGCCGGAGAAGACGAACCAGAGGCCGACCGCCGCCACTCGCCGCCACTCGCCGCCGCACCGGGGAAATTTCCGACCGCCGATCGAGGTAAATTTCATACCCCCGACTCGTTTTTCCCCACTGATTCCTCCTATGGCCAAATCGAAGCCGAAATCCCGGCCAAACGGCCGGAATACGCGGCCGAAGCCCAGCGGCGCCGCCGCGCCCCCTCTCGGTTTTTGCCTCCGACGAGGCCCTTCCCGGCCTCCGTTCGATGCAATTTTTATATCACCGTGATCACCATTCTTTTCTCTACAGGTTGACCGAAGCCAAATCACCAAAACACGAACCTCGCCGGAGAGTCGCCGTACCCGAGAGCACCGCCGCCGGTAAGCTCCGCTTTTCCGTGATTTTTTGGCCCCCCGAGGGCCCTAGGGTTGTTTTCTGACAAGGACCAATGCGAGTGTGGCCGAATTCGGCCAAAAACGACCGAAAACAGTCAACCCGAGGCGACTCGCCGTCGCCAGCGGCGGCGCCGTCGCCGGAGCACGGCGGAGCCGCCGTGCCGGAGTTGCGATTTGGGCCGAAAGAGGCCCTGGGCCTAATTTGGATTTTTTTTGGAACACGTGCAGGTACTGTTAGTGTGTTTCAGTTCCCCGGGAAAAATTCAGGAAAAATTAGGGACAGCCTGCAGGCGCATTGTGAATCGTATTCGGATCCCGAAAACAAGTAAGGACCCCTCACCCTATTTCCTATCACGGTATTAAAGTTCAAAATGATAAAACGGTATTTCTTGAATTAACGCATGTGTGAAATTGCTTAAGGTTGCTAATGGAGCTCGAGTCTATTGTGATTGATGATTTACTGTTATTTGGCCTGTTTTACACTGTTTTACAGCTTTAAATGCATTATGGGGTTTGATGTGTTCATTTTATAGTTTCGAATGCATATATTACTGTTTTATTAATTATGGGTTGAATGACTGAAGAACTGATACTGTATGTTGTCTGTTCGGCATGAATTACGATTTGCTTGTTTAAATGTGAATTGATGATGCTTATTGAGGAAAAGGGAAATGAAACATTGTGTAGACTGATAATTGTATGATGGGGTCAGCCTGACTAGATATCCTGGGAGATGGTGGACGGACCGGGTCCGTAGGGAACCCTACCGGGATTGTGGTCTCACATGACGGACGGGGTATGGAGATCTTATGGTTTTGGCGCCCATACCGGACGGGGTATGGGGACGGCCCGTTTCACCCTCATACCGGACGGGGTATTGAGGTTTATGGTTTTGGCGCCCATACCGGACGGGGTATGGGGACGGCCCTGGAAACTGATTATGAATGTTAAAGGTTAACGGGTAGCGGGACCCCTAGGGACCCCCATGGATACTAGTAGGCTGGTAAATGAGAAAAGGATATGTTGTATAATGATTGAATTACAAAAGGCGTGATAAGTGCTATGTTTTACAGCTTATATTATTCCATGATTGTGATAATGTTATTATTTTTCTTATATTGTTTTCATAAATTCCACCGAGGTAAGTGGATGGTAAAGGTTTTCATGTTAATAAACGAGTTTATTGTAAATTATGCTCCATTGGTCTTTTTGTGGTTTTCTACCCACCTTTATCTCCGTGACGGTGAGATATCGTGATGTTCTTACTGGGCTAGTGTAGCTCACTCCTTAATTAACCATTTCAGATCAGGAAGACATGGTTCCCGAGCCCGTTCCGCAGGAGGACGACGAAGGGGATGCCTAGAGACTCTGTAGTCATACGCATAGTTTATTTTCGAGTTTTCTTTCTTAGTTAGTTTAACCTTTTATATTTTAAGTACGTTTTTTTTGGTTTTTTTCGTGTAAGGGATGTTAACTGAAATTTTGATCTCGCTTCCGCATTCGATATATTTAAATACTCATTTCTTTTTTAATATTTTCCGGGGCCGTTACATGGTGAACTACTCACAACCCTCTTTCTGATTGAGATTTAGATCTTGATTTTTTTTATATGAAATAGTTAATAAAATCGTGAGCTACACTAGTGCAGTAAAAATCATATATACGAAAAACTGAATATTAGTAAAAATCAGAAAAACAACTAATGGAGCCCTTACTTTATTTAAATACCTTTAAACTTGAACACGTTTGTTTGATACTTATCGTAATAAATTTTTCAAAAATAACCTATAAAGACCCATATCCATACTACTTTTTACTTTAACACATAAGAGAACAAAAAATAATAACTTTCATTTCTTGCCTATTTATTGGTACTCCTGGAGGTCCATATAGATGTCTCCCCCTACTCGTAAACCTAGTATCCAATTTTACGATTAACCGGCTATCCCCATACTCCGTCTGGTAATGGGTGTCAAATATTCCATCGTCTCAATACCTCATCCGGTATGAGAGTAAACTATATCTCCCAAACTTTTCTGGTAAGGGACTTTCTAATTCCGTCCGAATAAGTTAACCTTTATAGTAGGGTTCCTTATGTACCGGGCACGTCCGCCCTTTTCCTGGGCACCCAATAAGTATTTTACATACATATTTTCATTAACAAACAAGCAATAAATGCATACCAATCCTCATATTACATTTATAGATCAATTAAACTACATTCATGCCGATGGTATATAATTAAAATAACTAGATAAACTGTAACAACCTCGAAAATTTAAATGAAGATGTATGTATTAAAAATTTTAAATGCGAAAGCGAAATAAATTTTTCTAATTAACATCCCTTACACAATAACCATAAACATATTCAACGTATGAAAGAATAAGCTAATTAAAAGAAATACTCGAAATAAAAACTATAAATAGCACTATAAAATCTTTAGATGTCTAACTCGCCGTCTTCCTGCAGAACGGGCTCGAGAACCACGTCTTTCTGATCTGAAATGGTTAAGTAAGGAATGAGCTACATTAGCCCAGTAAAGACATCACACTATCTCACTTCCACTGCCACAGAAGTAAAGATTGGTAGAAAACAAAAATGACCAATGAAGCATAATTTATAACAAACTCATTTATTAATAATAAAAACTTTTACTGTCCACTTACCTCGGTGAGATTCGTGAAAATAACATATGAAAACAATAACATTATAACTATCATAAAATCATATACACTTTGTAACATAACACATGTTATACTTTTGCACTTCAATAATCAGACAACAAATTTCATCTTTTACCAGCCTACTAGTATCCATGGGGATCCATACGGGGTCTCCGCTACACGTGAACTATTAACATTAATAACCTGATTCCAGGACCGTCCCCATATCCCGTCCGGTATGGGCGTCAAAACCATAAACCTTAATACCCCGTCCGATATGAGGGTGAAACGAGCTGTCCCCATACCCCGTCCGGTATGGGTGCCAAAACACATAAGTCTCCATACCCTGTCCGATATGAGAGACCACGTTCCCGGTAGGGTTCCCTACGGATCCAGTCCGTCCACCATCTCCTAGGATATCTAGTCAGGTTGTCCACATTAT